TATATATATATATATATATATATATATATATATATATATTATAAAATTAAAAAAAAATTCAATTAAAAAATAAATGAATGAATCTCATTGATCTTAATTTACTGTAACAAGTAAAAACACAAAAAAAATATAATAAATCAAATGAATTATTATTTAAAGTAATTAATTAATTATGAAGTATAGATCGTTGGGTTTTATGCAGTAAAAATAATAAAATTAAAAATAAGTTAAAAGGACGAATCGCCGAGGATTTATTTTTTCCTAACCTAAAATAAAAATAAAAAGAAATGAATTCAAACAAAAGTCAACTTTAGAAAATAGACGTCTCGTTGGGTTGGATTGTATATATATATATATATATATAAAATAAAAAAATAAAAATACAAAAAAAGATGAAAATTAGAAAAAAATAAAACAAAATAAAATTTGGTCCTAGAATAATTGAATTAAAAAAAAAAAAATTAAAATTATTCGATCCTAGAACAATTAAAATTAAAAAATAAGAAAACAAAATAAAATTTGGTCCTAGAACAGGGGTCTAAGGCAACCTTTTGAGTCGGAAGAGCCAAAAATTACAATTTACAAAATTTCAAAGTTTTTCAAGAGCCACCAAATTTTTTCTTGCCAACAATAAATGTTTTTTGATAAAAAAAAATTAATCTATTTATTTATTGATTCCTCATTAACTAAAGAGCCGTAAAGAGCCGCATAGAGCCGCATGTGGCTCGCGACTGTCCTACTGTCCTAGAACAATTAAAATTATTAGATTGTAGAACAAACAATTAAACTTAAAATTAAAAAAAAAGTAAAATTATTTGGTCCTAGAAAAAGTATAGATGATTTTATAAATAGGATATGTTGTGTTTCGTCGCAAAAAATTGTCGAATATTTGTTTGTTTGTTTGTTGATCCGGCAAGAGTTGTGCGATCCTAATTGATCGAGAAACGCTCGCATTATCTTAATTATTAATTAATTAATTAAAAAAAAAAACAGAAGATCAGAACGAACAAAAAAAGCTCCTTTCTCTCTCTCTCTCTCTCTCTCTCTCTCTCTCTGATCGATGAAATTAATTTTTGTAAAATGAATTTTTCCAATAAATTTACTAGATTACAATATTATTACAACAAGAAGAAGCAATGTATCTCCTCCAACGAGCAGAACTTTCCTATACGTATACATGTATTATTCATTTACATATACACATGTATACGTAAAAAAGCATGAATGTTTTTTATTTGTTTTGTTTTTTTTTTTTTTTCATTTTGTTTATTATTACTAGCAAAAGCTCACACTATTAACAAACACACCGTGTGATTAATTTCATCTCAGAGAAGAAGGGAACTTTCTTCGAAGGAAACATTTCGACAAAAAATATTCTTACATTTTTGTATATTTTCGTGTGTGTGTTTGTGTGTTTCTTTTCTTTTTTTTTTTTTTTTTTTTTTTTTTTTTTTTAATGAATTATTTAAAATAGTGATTTTTTTCTTTTCTTTTGTTTTTTTTTTCATTTCATTTTTTTTTTCTTTTTCAAGGATGAAATTGTTGAGTATTTCGAAACAGTGAATATGATACAATTACATATATATATATATATACTTAACGAGTAAAATTGTTCTCTTTATAAACGTAAAATTAATATAATATATTATTTAAATCCAATTATTTTTTTGTTTTGTTTGCGGAAGCATTTTGAAAAGTTTTGTACCGTAATAATTAATAAAAACAAAAAAAAAAAGAAAGAACGAAAACACCTTCCTTTTTTATATCTTATTTTTACAATAAAAGTTTGTTGTACGATCGAAAAAATGTTTTCTTTTTTTTTTTTTTGATTATAGGTTAAAGGCCAGGGGTCGACAAACTTTTTGAATCAGAAGAGCCAAAAATTACAATTTACAAAATTTCAAAGATTTCAAGAGCCATACCAAATTTTTTTCTTGCCAACAAAATAAATAATACTAGCATAACTCACATAAATAAATCTTTTATCTTTTTGATAAAAAAAAAAATAAAACTAATCTATTCATTCATCTTTTTTTTTTTTTTTTATTTTTTTGTCTTTCTTTCATTTTCTTTTTTCTTTTATCCTTTTCTCATCTATTTTAAGCCGCAAAGAGCCGCAAAGNGGGTTAGGCTCAAAACTTTTCAACTCGTTTACGTATATTGTATGATATATCAAAAAACGCATGATTATTATTTCTTTTTTTTCTTTTTTTTTTTGTTTTCTTCTAAAATATATCAACTGATTATGTGAGAATTATCGATAATAATAAATATATAAATATAATGTAAAATAAAAGTAATTATTATTCTGTGTTAAAAATGGTACTGCGAGTGATATACTCATACACGTAAAATAATTTCATAATATTTATATGTACATGAACGTGACAAAAAAGTAATAATAATAATAAAAAAAAAAGAAAAATAAATCCGACATTTTCGATATCCTAATTAAAATCCCTGATACATTTTTTTTTGTTTTTTATCGGAATAGAAAAAGAAAAAAAAATTCAAGAAGATTAAAAATGATCGACGATACACGATAAAAGATTGATTAATTAATGAATGAAATAATCAATCGATTAATTAATTAAATGTTAAAACACACGCTTATTTATATATTTTTTTTGTTTTCAACATCCGTGGCAGTATATATTAATATTCATCGTAAAACTATATAATGCAACGTTGATTCACGCCGGATAACGCGAATCAACGCGTAACAAGCCAATCATCGATTTGAATTTGCCGCCATTACTATTTTTCATACAGAGTAGGAGTGGGGGAAAGTTAACGAGGGAAACATTCAAATCGATGGAAAGACGCAACATTATTTCGTCGTCATGACTCGTAAACTATCATCGAATGAATTTTATCGTTCAGGAAATCTGTTATTATTATTATTATTATTATTATATTATTATTAATTATATATTTTGTTTATTTTGTTCTGGCATTTTTTTTTTGTTTTTTGTTTTTGTTTTGTTTCTTTTTTAGGCCAAGGTTTATATTCTTTTCCTTTCTAATCGAAATCTTGTCGAATAAAACGGATAAAAAAATAAAAGTAAAAGTTAAAGAACATTCGTTGGAATGTTATTAAAAAATAAAAAATAATTATAACCTAACCTACAATATTGATGGTTTTTCTTAAAATGCGAAATGGGTGTGTATTATGTCTTGTAAAAAAAAAAAAAAAAATGAGTTAAAAATAATCAAATAAAATGAGAATAATGATGAATGTGTTAAATGGGATGAGGAAATGAAAGGAAGACAAGAATTTAAGGGATTGGATTTGAATAGTGTCCTACTTCAATATGGCTGCCTCTTGTCCTAGGACACTTTTAATTCCTAACCCCTTTCTTCTCTTGTGTCTTCTCTTTTCTTCTCTTCGTTCCATCTTCTTCATCTTCATCTTCATCTTCATCTTCATCTTCATCTTCATCTTCATCTTCTTCTTTTATTTTTTCTTTTTTCTTTGTAACGAAAAGCGAGGCAATTAGACCTGAGCTGGTTTTGACTTCCCAACGACCACCATTATCTTCTGTAGGAATTTAGTGGTGCCTACTGCAAAATCAAAAGAAAAATTGAAAACAAAAAATTAGAAATTTAGTTACATTAATCTTCATTTTTCATTACAATTATTTTTACACTGCCCAACACACATTTGTTAATTAGAAAAATTATAAATATATTTTTTGAATAAATTTTTCATTGACAATATTTAATGCAATAATTTTATCATATCAACTGTACTTTTGAATTTAATGATACTTTTGGAATTAGGAAATATTTGTAAATTATTGAAAAATAAATTTAAAACTTTCAAAAGTAACATTTTATATTATTAATGTTTTTTTTTTTGTTGTCTTTTTTTGTTGTTGGTTGGGCTGTGTTATTTTATATTATTTAATAACAATTATTAGGATAACGTTAGAAGACATTAGAGCATGTGAATTTTTTTTACAATAGTGATCGATAAATATAGCCTTCGACTATTAAAAGGAATATATATATAGTTTAGCATTCTTAATATTAATAATAATATTTTATATTATATAATTATTAATCGATGTGATATATCACAAGGTGCGAAAGGTAGAAGAAAAAGTGCTTCTGAGAGAGTTAACCATGTTGTTGTGGTGATGTTGATATTGTGTTTTAATTATGATCGTCTCGAAGTCATGCAAACTTAAAGTTTTAATATAATCGCACCCTTTTAATAAAAAAAACTGTTACAATTTTCAAAAAAAATAAAATAAAAATAAAAATATTTTTGTAATACATGAATAGAAATAAATTTTATTTGATTCTAAAGAAATTTGTAATTTTGAAATTGATTTAGTAAATATCAAAATTATATAAGAAAACCCATTTGAAATTTCTTTTCATTCTAAATAAATCAGTAATTTTGAAATTGATTTAGTAAATATCAAAATTATATAAGGAAACCCATTTGAAATTTCTTTTGATTTGAAATAAGTTTGAAATTTATTTTGTGAATATTAAAATTAGATAAGGAAACCCATTACAAAATAAATGCATTCCAAAATGTGTTAAAATGTTAAAAAGAGAAAAAAAATAAATAAATAAAAAGAAAAATCTTTTTTTGAGATAAGTAAACAAAAAGAAATTTTCTTTCATTCTAAATAAGTCTGTAATTTTGAAATTGATTTAGTAAATATCAAAATTATATAAGGAAACCCATTTCAGAAATAAATGCATTCGAAAATGTGCCAAAATTATTAAAAAAAAAAAATAAAAATCTTTTTGAGATAAATAAATAAACAAAAATAAATTTCCTTTGATTCTAAATGTGTCAAAATTCAAAAAAAAAAAAACAAAAACTAAATAAATAAATAAATAATAATATTTAATTTTGAAAATAATATAATATTAATATTAAATCATAAATAATAGAAATATTAGAACAAAATGAAATTTAGAAAGTTGTAACAGTATTCTTTAACGAATGCGATACGATTCTGCGAACTCAGGTGAAACAAAGCGTATTGTTTGTTGCCTTGATAACTTTAATGAATTTACCATCACTCGAGCTTTTTTTTTTATTATTATTATTCTTTTCATCTTTTTTTTTTTCTCTCTTTTATAGATATTAATTAATATATTAATATTTATATAATAGACAACAAGGACACGATTGAAATAAAATTGGAAATCGTTTAAATAGACTTTTAACGTGTAACCAACACACATATCTTTTTTCTATTGCAAAAGAAAAAACAAAACAAAAAAAAAGAAAACATTTACAAAGAATGAGAGAGAGAGAGAGAGAGAGATTTAATTAATTTGACCTTGTTTATATTATTCTTTTACAAAAGGATACCAAAAGAAAAATAATACGATGTAAACACACACCCATATTATACACACATACACACACATACACACACACACACATATGTATATTGTTTGAGATTTATGTTGAAATTAAATTACGATTTTTTGTGTGCGTGTGTTTCTTTTTTTTTTTTATCTTTTCATTCATTCGTATTTTTAGAGAGATCAAATTTGTAAATGCGTGCTATTTGAAATAAAATAGAAATTAAAAAAAAAAAAAAAAAAAAAAAAAAAAAAACTGATAAGCTATAATGATAAGCAAAAGCTAAAAACATGCGTGACATATGAGAGAATGTAATATTATGTTATAGTGTGTTTCTAAACCTTATTTATCTTTGGCCCGACGACTACCATCAGCTTCTGCAAAGTTTTGGTAACGGCGCCTGTGGGAATAAATTGGTTAAAAGGAAATGGAAAAAACAAACAAAACGAAAAACAAATAAAAAAAAAAAACAAAAAAAAAAGTACAAACTCTATATGTACATAATATATTACATTTAGGATTAGTACTAATAATAATAATAACAATAATAATAATAATAATTTATAATATAATTTAATGTCTAAGAAATATATATGTATTTGTTTTTTAATTGTATCGAAATCATACTATGTGTTAAAATAATTCTATAAAAAAAAAAAACAAAAAAAATACAATTTAATAAATAATAATTTAATAGTTATTTATTAAAATTATTTTTTTTTAATAAATACAAACATAAAAATTTAATATATATTTATTATATATTATATATAATAATATATTAAATTTTTATTTTATATATATATATATATATAACTATGTGTTAAAATAATTCTAAAAAAAAAAAAAAAAACCATTTAATAACCTAAAAATAAAAATCAATACAATGGATACATATCAAATATATACAATTAAAACAATAATTGTATTATTAATAAGATTAATAATAATAGTACGATCTCGATACTGAAATATTCATTAATAATATAAATTGTTATTAATTATATTAACTTACCGACAGCTTTGACGAAAAATTTCGGTTTGTTCTTCCACGAAATAAATCCAAAGTACACTGGCACCGATGATGAAATCATCAAACAACCATATCCTGTAAAAAAAAAATAAAAAATAAAAAATCCTTCATAAAATACATCAATGAAAAAATAAATGAATGAATTAATTATTTAAAGATAATTATTCTTACCTGTTTCTAAAGGTGTAATATACATTGGAACAACCGTGACGAATAGTGTGGCAATAATGTAAACAATTGGAAATGCAAGATTAACTTTAATTGGTCTTGGCAAATTTGGTTGGGCCCATCTTAACCATGGTAGACATAATACAGATACTCCTATGCTTAACTGTAAATAAATACAATTTAATTATTAATTAACAACAACAACAACAACAACAACAACAACAAAATGTTAACATTCGATTGGAAATATTCTATGAGTCAAATTTAATTAATTGAAAGACAACAAAAATAAAATAATAAAATAATAAAATATAATAAGGTTTGTATATCGATAAAAAATTAATACAGGAAAGAAAAGAAAAAATCTACAAAATTATTCAATTAGTTACGCCAATGTAATTACATCATAAATTTAAACAATTGTTCACCTCGAGTTTGTAGTTACAAGCCAATTAGAAAATTATCAATTATCTTACCACGATTATTAATAATTGACTTGACAAACAGACAATTAAATTGTTCATGAAACCCATCCGACATATAACCTAGATATTACTAATTGTATGATGCAATTATAAAATAGTTAATTACACAAATTCCTAAGTAAATAACCATTGAGATCAAGTACAGTATAAATGTAAAAAATTAGAAAATAATCATACAAAGAAAAAGAAAAAAAATCAGACAAAAAAAAGACAAGAGTTAAAGAAAAAAAAATATTTATAAAAACAATCGAACACAAACCTTTTATTATAAGAAAGAATACAACGAGTAATATTACAAGAAATAATAATAATAATAAATATAAAAGTAAAGATAACAACAAAACAATTCTTTTATTCTCAATGTCAATTACATTGACTCGTGGGGAATTACAAAAAAGAAAAAAAAATAATAATAATAATAGAAAATGAAGGATTTATTTGTAACACGAAATGTAAGGGTAAAGTTACATCAGAAAATTGATTACGTACCCAAGTGGCAAAGCCGACGTAGTTGATCAATGCAAAGATGTCGGAAGAGCACAAGTATAACATTGACAATAGTGCCTGTAATAAATAAATCAAAAAATTAATTAGATAACACACACACACACACACAATAATTAAATGTTATTTTAATAACCCTATTATTTTCATCGATTTATATAATTTTTGATAATTCTTATGGCAAATGCAAATCACCCACACATCATTGATTTGGTTTTGTATTTTTTAGTGAACAATAAAATTGCAAAATTGCTTTAGAAAAATATTTATAAAATAAATCACATTATTGATTCTTTGTTTTTGTATTTTTTTGTTAACAATAAAATTGCAAAATTATTTTACATAAATTTTTATAAAATAAATCATAATATTGATTCTTTGTTTTTGTATTTTTTTGTTAAACAATAAAATTGCAAAATTATTTTACGAAAATATAAAATAAATTCCCTTTTTTCTAAAAACAAGTAGAAACATTTTACTTGATAAAATTTAATTATTGTATGTGTGTGTGTGTGTAAATATTGATTTGTTTTTCTCCAATACAACAAATTTATCGATAAACATTTCTCTTATTTATTTGAACAATTTCTTTCAATAAGAAGGAAAAATGTTTTTTGGTCTTTTGTCCAATGTTATATTATATTTGTTCATTCTCAAAAAAGAGAACAAACAAACAAACAAACAAACAAACGTACCATACAAATAACAGCTGGCGTTGGTGTCAATCTCGAAACTTGTATCATCGTAAGTATTTCTGGCATTTGTCCCTCGCATGCACCAGCATAAAAAAGTCGAGAAGACGTCAATAGAATTCCATTAACTGCACCAAATGTTGACAATGCTACGAACACTGGTATTGTCCATGCCATTACTCCGAACAAATGATTGGCAAACGTCTGTCATATAAACACAAACGAATTAATTACAAATTAATTAATTTAAATTAAAAACAAAAAAAACAATTATTCTATTCTCTAAAAAAAAAAAAAAAATGATTATAAACAAACAAACAAACAAACAAAAAATTGTTACAAAAGTATCTACGAACCAATCATTTTGATTGACGTGTCAAAAAGTAAATAAACAATCGAATAATTAAATTTAATTAAATTAAATGTTAATTAAATTAAAATTAAAATTAAAATTAAAAAAAAATAATAATAAATTATTATTTAAAAAATTAACCAAAAAAAAAAAACTTACAACAGCAACAGCACCACTGCCCAAAACTTCGACAGGACTCAACGTGGTATAAAACGCCATGTTTGTTAAAACGTAGACAATGGTAACCAAGGTGCAAGAAATTGCAATAGCTTTTGGTAAATTTCTGTAAAAAAAAAAAATAATAATAATAATAATAATAATAATATAACGTTAATAAAATAATAGACGAGACCGTGAT